ATAAGCTGCATCAAATCAGATTCTGACCCTGACGAACTGATGTCGGCATTCTCTCCTTCACTTTCACTTTGCTGCGGACTGTTATCGACTGTGTCACGGCGCGTGATTACGTGCAGGAAATCGAGACGTTCCTGCGCCTGGGAAGCTTCCATGTCGAGGGCCATCTCCACCGCCTTGTCCTTCGCCAAACGAGCAAACTTCTCTGCCTCCGCGTTATTACCTCGTCGGTATTCCAAATCAGAACTAGCCAGGTAGAACAGAGTTTTATCTATCCGCGCAAATTCCGACCAGTACTTGTTTCGCATTGTGTCTAAGCACGACTGGGCTGTCGCGATAAATTCCTTGCTCACAGAACGTTTTCGCGCGGCATCGCTGCGGCAATCGAGCAAAAGCATTGCCATTTTGACTAACACGACCACATAGTGGTGTTTCATCACAGACACTTGACTGTTTTCTGTTTCCACGCGCTCGTAGACGTCGATGCACTTTTCCAGATTACGTCGTGCTTCATTCACTTGTTTGAGGCTTCGATGAGGGGTGCGTCCAATGAAATCCATTAACATACTTGCTCTCTCGTAAGCAANATCGAGCAAAAGCATTGCCATTTTGACTAACACGACCACATAGTGGTGTTTCATCACAGACACTTGACTGCTTTCTGTTTCCACGCGTTGGTAGACGTCGATGCACTTTTCCAGATTACATCGTGCTTCATTCACTTGTTTGAGGCTTCGATGGAGGGTGCGTCCAATGAAATCCATTAACATACTTGCTCTCTCGTAAGCAATCAAGCTTGTGTCCATGCTCGTTTGACACGCAGCAATGTTTTGCCAGGCTAGGTGCACACAGTACTCAGCCTTCCCTAGGTTTCCTTGCCTTCTAAAGATTCCTGCTCGATAGCCGTAGCCCCTTCCAGCCAGAAGAGGTGGATTTTTTGCTTCAGCAATGAAACTGAACGCGTCATCGATCAACTGTAGAGCGCGGTCCGGCTCGTTTTGATAACAAGCTTCCACGCTTTGCTCCAGTTTTATGGCTGCCTGAGTGTCCGCATCAGTAAACTTCAGGATTAGCTTGCTAGCGCAATTGTCAAAATCTTTCCACCTAGCATTGTCCCGGCTTGACTGAAGCCGTTTCACAACCCACGAGGATCTTTTGTAAAGCACAGTACTCTCTTTAGAAAGGGACGGTGGACTCAACGCAAACAATGGGGAAACAGCGCTCTCTTTCGCCTTTTTCGTAGTCTTGCGAGTTCTTGATTTCGATGATTCCGGGGACCCTGTTTCTAGCGTGACCAAAATTTGGCAGATAGTTTCACAAGCAGTAGTGTGTCTCTGTACAATTCTCTTTTTTCCCCTTCTTTTCGGTGGAATGGCGTTCAATGAAAAGCTTACCTTGTATTTGGTTTCAGGCTCATGGAAGCGAAACAGATAGCCGACAACTCCTGCCATGGACTCGTTTGCGTCGCCTTTAGTTTCGCTTTTGATGCGTTCACACTGATAGTCGGGCAATTTAAGACTAGATCCATCAGCTCCATCGTAACTTACGGCCACTGTTACATCGTAATTATCTGAGATGTCAAGTGCTTCGCTTGTATGTTGATTCTTACAGACCAACAACTGAACTAAGTGATCGAATTGACAATCAGGGAAGCCAAGTCTACTCCGACCAACGCTCAAAAGTCCATGTGGTTTCCAGAGTTCTCTCAATACAGGACCACCTTCATCGCCGCTTTTAACGTTGCTGAGATTTTCAGATGAGGTCGGATCATCCACTGATATAAAGCTTAGGACATTATCTCTACCAATTTGCAAACAACTGGTTTTAATATTCAAAACAAAGGAGTTGTTATTACTTCTGCTTGTTGTTCGCTCCCCTTCGCTTGAATCACTTCCAGGAACATCAGTCCCAGTGCAACCATCTGAATCATCTGAAGCTCAGACTGCATCGTATCTTTTCACTCCACCTTCGTTGAAAGCTCGACTACTAGTAGCCATTTTACTCGGTAAATTTAATTCTCACGCTTTCCACACTGAGTCAGCCAGCGAGTTGTCGAAATACCAGTTTTTTTTTTTTTTCGCGCGAACAACTTTATCAGGAAGTTATCGCTCAGTAGCCAACTTCCATAACGGCTAATGAGTAACAGTTTAGCTAGAAAGCAAGATATCGCCGTGAGTTCAGGCTGTATTCTGATCCATACTCAAGGCATTTCACAACATGATCATTTTAGCCATGATCAGAGTTGAATTCGAAAGCTAAATTGTTTTTTTACTTTAAATATGCAAAGCATCCAAGAGATATAGTGGGGGTTTGTATGCAAGTGAGTCACTCGGAAGCTCGATCAATCAGCCATGCAATCACCAGACGGAGTTAAAGAAGTGTTTTAATTTGTATGCACTCACTTACAAACGAAAGATGTACTGGACCCCGGGTAGGGGGGGGTACTCCCTTATATGAGCTATATAAGTATGTGCAGCCCCAAAGGGTATAGTTTTTCAGCTGTTTTGGTCCTAAACAGGGTATCGATTTTAGCCTGTTTTGGCCATTTTGGTTATAAGTAGGGTATGGTTTTTGTACTCTAGCCTTGATATGGGTATGTTTTTAAGAAGAAGCCACTTTTTCGTCATTATCGAAAAGAAAATTAGCAAAAGCCCTTCACAAATTATGTTAAGGGTAATTTAACATTGGTCTGAACCAGGGAACTTATTTTAACGCAGGTCCGCTGAAACTGGGTTTTGATTTCATGGTCAGGTCATAAATAGGGCATCGAATATTTGGTCAGGTCATAAATAGGGTAGGGAATATTGCAGATTTTGGTCATAAATCGGGTAAGGGATTTGAGAAGCGGGCCGCACACCCCGACCCAACTTTTCTGGGAGTACCCCCCTGCCCCCCTCGGGTACTGGACCTGATTTGAACAGCAGTAGGTAATATTTGAACTGGTATACAGTGGCATACACGAACTGATCTAGAATTATCTGACATATGCCGATTGGAGAGGGAATAAAAGCGATATGAAACTACTCCAGGGTCACGAAAAAAGTTTGCAAAACATAAATTATGAGTAACAAGCAAAGATCTTGTATGTGTGCAGCAAACTAACCGCGTAACTTCCTGTGTGTTTATAACATGTACCGCTTGATTCTACCTCTCATCAAAGGCCCTGATACTGATCGTGCATGATCAGTGTTGTACTGCAGTGCAACCTTGTTATCTGCGCTAATGTTACATTAAATCATGGTTTATAGTTGAAGGGACTCTAGTAACAATAAATCAATTAATGGCAGTCAGTAAAGAGAACTTTTGCTTCAGACATGAAACTGAACGCCTCATCGATCAAGTGTAGAGCGCGGTCCGGCTCGTTTTGATAACAAGCTCTCACGCTTTGCTCCAGTTTTATGGCTATCTTCTGAGTGTCCGCATAAGTAAACTTCATACTCTATGTTAGCTAAAAGATGAAGGACTGATTGCATCGAACCGTGTTTGTGAGTGAATCATGCATGAACTGGGTTGAATGTAAAGATCGATCGGATGGTTTTGTATGGGAACTTGCCGCAGACAGATTAGACGGAAAAGACATCGAGTAGAAAGAAGCATAAGAGAAGGCAGCTGGTTCGAGAATTCTAACTTGTCAGTCGAGGAGGTGATTAAGTTTACCTACTGGTGTTGCCAGGGACTTGACCAATGGCAAATTAAACAGCAACTCGGACTTGGATCACAAACGGCTGTGGACTGGAACATATTATGTCGAGAACTCTGTGAGGTTACACTCTTCGAGGAAAGAGAGAAACTTGGAGGACCAGGTAAAGTTGTAGAGATCGACGAGTCAAAAATCGGCCAAAGAAAATATCATCGCGGGCACGTTGTGGAAGATTATCACTCTTATGATCCCAAAACATGGATTAAGAGAATAATGACTAACATAATAATATTAATAGATGTCTTCAGCCGCGATTGAAACTATTTATTGACTTTTGTGAGATCCTAGCGAGGAATTTATTTACGACTGGCTGTAGGTCGTACACTGCGCATGACCTTAGCCGTTGCTAGGATAACGTATTCCCCACGTATACATTTTGAGAATGACCAACTTGCTCTATGAGACAGTCTTGCTGACAGGCATTCCTTAGATCTTATGTTTTTGCGCTGCCTGCCGGGAATCATGATAGTTGTATTCATCATCTTGGATTTGATATTTGTTTTAGTGAACACAACTCCCATAATTCATTGCAGGCGTGTCTCCCGGAGGGAATTGGCCCTTTAGTTGTCCCAGCCACAAAGGAATGGTACAATGGTATTCCCTTGATTCACAGCCAGTGATCAGGAATAGCGATTATGAACACTGAATAACCCTAGTTAGCTCATGTAACGCAATATATTATTTCATGTGATCCTCTCTCATTTGGTAAATTTCCCTTTCACAGCGGTCACACTTGATTTGGTGTAAGGTATATTTATACCCGAAATCGAAAGGGCATTTCTCAAGACCTTTGTTTCCACATGACAACACTGACACCATAGCTTGAGGGATGGAAAAGAGATCTCGAATCGTCATTACCTGCGGGATGTCCCAGCAACTCCTTCTTTTGCTTTTTGTTTTACAAGATGCATAGGGCTTTTCAAACTACCTGATTACAGCATTTGCATTGGTATACTAGTAGAATTCTACTAATCTGTGATAGGAATCGGGCAGTAGAAATC